TGAAGCCAGACGTACTTCTACCCTCCAGCCTTTTATCAATTCTGAAACCATCCGTCCCTCCCACGGCCCTCACTACTTCTCTGCTGGATTCTATAATTTGTTGCAGTGGCCACCCAGAACTCATGGACAGTACTCAAGATTATGGGGCTTATTTGGGAAGTAACAGGCTACAATTCAGGTTCAGGAATTGTTCAGGATACAATTTGATCAGGACAGTCTCCCCTTTGCTGTGCCTTCAGGCATGCCTCTCTGGTCCTTGACCTCGCTTCTGCCCTACTTTTTTAGTTCTGCTGAAAGGTACACCTAGGTGCACCCCGCTCTGTCAGCAAGCCTCCTGCCCAAGGGCACTCAGCTTTCTCGTTCTGTGACCCAGGTAAGCCAGGTGCACTGCCTCGTGCCTCTTGGTTCCACTGCGGCCATCTTCCTGCTAGGGCATCTCTCTCTGCAGCCGTCTTCCTGCTAGGGCATCTCTCTCTGCCTGGGGCGTGTCTTTCTGCCTGGGGTGTCTCTGTCTGCCCTGGGGTCTCTCTCTGCTGGGGCATCTCTACCAAGGAAGTCCAGTGCAGGGATCTCAGGTCCAAGGATGCACTCTACTTCACCTCAACCTCTTTTATCTTGATGGCAGGGAGATCCCCTCTCCCTCTAGCAGGGCTCATTTTAAGCCTGGCAGAATGACAAACTAACCAATCTCAACATCAGAGTTCTACACACCTTATTTGCATGGTCCACCCAGGAATCTGGGAGCTCTGTTAGCGTAGTGCCTAAGGTACTTGACTGCTAACCAGAAGGCTGGTGGTTCAAACCCACCAGCCACTCCTTGGAAGGAAGACTGGGCAATCTACTTCCATAGAGATATTGCCTCAGAAACCCAAGGTGGGGTCACTATGAGTTGGCTTCGACGCTACGGCAGTGAGTTGGGTTTGGTTTAGTACCCAGTAATCTGGTGGGAGTTACAAAGACTATGGCTAGAAAAGCCATACCAAGTAATTCACTCCACCACAAAATACTTATCAGAAAGAAATCATTTGTTTTCATGATATCCTTAATATCTATTGTATGTGGAGAGGTATAGTAACTTACGTTCCAGGTTTGTATAACTGGGAGATACTCAGATGATTATGGGATCACAGTTCTTCTTTTCTACCAAAACAGTGTATCATGAAGAATATGGTTAGATTTTATCATAAAGAATACGTTTAGATTTTTATCTTAACTTAAAGTCACTGCTGTTGAGTGGATCCCGACTCATAGCGACCCCTCCTTGGGTTTCTGAGGTGGTATCTCTGTGGAAGTAGATTGTCCAACCTTCCTTCTGAGGAGTGGCTGGTGGGTTTGAACCACCAGCCTTCTGGTTAGTAGTCAGGTGCCTTAGGCATTATGCTACCAGAGCTCCTCATCTTAACTTAGTCAAGTAAATTTAAAAACAGTAAAGGAAATTAAGAAAGGAAGTTTAACCATGTTTTCTTCATCCTTACTTTTCAACATACTTTACTTAACAACTAGCTTATGTCAAGTTGATTCCAACTCATGGTGATTCCAGGGACTCTACCTTCTTAAAAACCGAAAAACCAAACCAATTGCCGTAGAATTGATTCCACTCATAGTGACCCTACAGGACAGAGTAGAACTGCCCCATAGGGTTTCTAAGGTGGTAAATCTTTACAGAAGCAGGCTGCCACATTTTTTTCCCTACACAGTGGCTGGTGGGGTCGAACTGCCAACCTTTCAGTTCGTACCTGAGTGCTTTAACCATTGCACCACCCGGGCTCCTTCCTTCCTTCGTAGGTACTCTTATTATTTTACATAAAAGTAATCATAGTACTTTTTTCCATAGAAAATTTTTGAATTCTGTTGTTGCTTTTATTCCTAAAGCTGTGATAACAGCAAAAAAGTCATCAAAATCCGTCTCTTATTGATTCACATTAATGGTGTCATCTTCATAGGTGAAGGATGTCACTTTTTTTCCCAACTGGAACACTTTTTTAAGTTAGGGTATGACTTATCTTTAAGCCTGCTGTGAAATAAGTTACAACTAAGTTTCTGTGGGAGGAAGCACTTAAAATTTTAGCCAGCTAACCCTAACCTTCCACTTCTCTTTCAATTAGTAATTTTCAGTTTAAATTGAAGCACAACAGTAACCAAATAGGAAAGCTTGTACATGCCTTCTTCTCTGCTTGGTGTTTCAGGTCACATTTTTATTGTCCACTGGTATAATTTAAAGCATTTCATAAATGCCACGATTTGAATCAGAGCGAGATGAGATGAAGTACTCTTTTGGTGGGTGTTTTAAAATGTTGATCTGAATAAAGTAGGTTAAGTCTTAAATTAGCATCTAATAAGAGCTGGTCTCACATGTTGAAGTTAAAATGAAATGTGATTTTTTTTTTTTTTTTCAGGAGATCATGAATCAGGCAGATAAAAACCAACAAGAAATCCCATCATACCTTAGTGATGAACCACCAGAAGGTAAGAATACATATACAACAGTAAATAAGAGTAGGGGAAAAAAATCCTAGTTAAGTTTGATTTTTATTAAATTTAAAGTAATAGGGAAATAAGGAAAACAATACCATTGACAGTAGTTAGCAGAAAGATAAAATACTTAGTAATAAATGTTACCAGGAAAATTAAAGACCTATGCAAAGAAAACTACAAAACCCTACAAGCAGCTGTAAGAGACCTACAGAAACGGAAGAACATACCCTGCTTATGGGTAGGAAGACTGATTATTGTGAAAATGTCAGTATCATCCAAAGCAATCTATAGATTCGGTACAAGCCCAATCCAGATTCTATCAGTATTCTTTTAGGACATGGAAAACCCAATCACTATTTTATACAGAATGGAAAGAGAGATCAGATAAGGAAAGCACTACTGACAAAGAAGAAAACCAGCCACATTCCCCAAATGCAGAACCTGCTGTATAGCCATGGAGGTCAAAACAGCCTTGTATTGGTACAACAGACACGTAGACCAGTGAAACAGAATTGAGGATCCAGAAACAGTTCCATCCACCTTTGGACAGCTGATGGGGCCAAAATCCATTAAATGGGAGAAGAGATGGTCTCTTTAACAAATAGTGCTGGCAAAACTGGATATCCATTTGTAGAAAAATGAAACAAGATCCAAACATCACATTCATACACAAAAACTAACTCAGGATGGATTAAAGACCTAAATATAAAACCTAAAACTATAAAGTTCATCAAAGAAAAAATAGAGGCAATGTGAGGGGCCCTAATTTATGGCATACGTAGATTGTATTTCTTAAGTGCATCAAAAGACTTCTCCAGAAGAATCAAAAGAGAACCTACAGACTGGGAAAAAATACTCGGCAATGACATACTCAACAAGGGACTGATCTCTAAAATTTATAGAAGACTTGAGCACCTCAACATCAGACAGACTGTCTACTTCAGAAATGGGCAGAGGACATGAACAGATACTTCATCAAAGATGATAGTCAGGTGACAACATATGCACAAAGAAATGTTAGAGATCATTAGCCATTAGACAGATGCAGATTAAAACAACAATATGAAATCATCTCACTCCAGCAGTAATAGCAAAGTTCAACAAGACCAAAAATAACAAGTGCTGGCAAGGGTGTGGAGAGATTGGAACTTATACACTGCTGGTGGGATTGTAAAATAGTACAGCCACTGTGAAAAAGGTATGGTGCTTCCTTAAAAAACTGGAAATAGAAATACCATTTGATCTAATAATCCCACTATTAGTTATATCCTAAAGAAGTGAGAACTAGGATACAAATAAATATATGTGCACACATGTTCATTGGAGCACTATTCACAATAGCAGAGATGGAAACAAGTGCCCATCAACAGAAGAATGGATAACTAAACTATGGTACATAATACACAGTGGAATACTTTGCAACATTAAAGAATAATGAAGAATTGGCAAAATATCTCATAACATGGATAAACTTGGAGAACGTTATGCTGAGTGAAGTCAGTCAGTCACAGAAGGACAAATACTATTATGAATCCACTATTACAAAAAGTCAAGAAAAGGTTTATGCACGGAAAGAAACTTTCTTTGTTGGTTACTAGGGATGGGAGGGTAGGGTAGGGAAAATTGTGAGCTAGGTAAGAGACACATATTGATTTGGGTGAAGGGAAACGCAGTATACCAAAAGCAGGTGACTAGCATGGTATCAGTAAGGAAAAGGAAGACACAGAGAGGTGCACAAGAGGTAAAGACAACAAAGGTAATTATGACATACACAATACTGTATTATCAGTAATAAACATTAATCTATGAGTGGGTATATAGATATGGGTAGGTGAAAAGGAAAATACTCATGACCATATTTTTGGCAGATGATATTTTACATATATATTTGTATGTGCTATAAAAATATCTCCTCATAACTGGACCAATAACCAGGATCACAATTAATAGTGAAAAGATTGAAGTTGTAAAAGACTTAATATTACTTGGTTCTGCAGTCAACACCATGGAAACAACAAGTCAAGACATCAGACTGGGCAAATCTGCTGCAGAAGACCTCTTTCAAGTGCTGAAGAGCAAAGATGTCTCCTTGAGGACTAAGATGCATCTAACCCAAGCCATGGTATTCTCAGTTGCCTCATATGCATGTGAGAGCTGGACAGTGAATAAGGGAGACTGAAGAAGAGTTGATGCTTTTGAATTGTGATGTTGGTGAAGAATTCTGAAAGTACCATAGAGTGCTAAAAGAATGAACAAATGTCCTGGAAGTGCAGCTGGAACACTCCTTGGAAGCAAGAATGGCCAGACTTTGTCTCACTTAACTTTGGTCATATGTGTTAGAAGAAACTATTCTCTGGAGAAGGATACCATGCTTGGTAAAGTGGAGGGTCAAGAAAGGTGGGGAAGGCCCTCAACAAGATGGATTGACACAGTCACTGCACGATGGGCTCAGATATAGCAAGGATCATGAAGGTGGGACAGGACCAGGAAGTGTTTCGTTCTGTTGTACACAAGGTTGCTGTAAGTCAGAGATGATGCAACGGCACCTAACAACAACATATATATATAATAGAGCTAATCGGGGGCAAAGTTATAACAACAGTCAGTCACAGAAGGACAAATACTATATGAATCCACTATTATAAAAAGTCAAGAAAAGGTTTACGCATGCAAGGTTTACGCAAGGTTTACTCCTTGAAGGAGTCAGTTGCTGGGCCTGTGGACTCAGGACTGTGGTTGCAGGGGACATCAAGTTCAATTGGCATAACATAGTACACAAAAACATTGTTCTGCACCCTACTTTGATGAATAGCAGCTGGGGCCTTAGAGCCTGTGAGCATCCATCTGAAAGGCAACTATTGGTCTCTGCATCCAGAGCAAAGAAGAGTGAAGAAAATCAAAGATGCATGGCAACAGTTAGTACAAGGGACTAGTGGACCATGCGAATCTCAGTCTACATGACCCTGAGACCAGAAGAACTAGATGGTGCCTAACTAACACTACTACTCGGAAAAGGATCAAAAGAGGAGATCCTCGACAGAGTGGGAGAAAAGTGTGAAAGAAAACTCAAAATATAAAACAGACCAGCTTACTGGTCTGCTAAAGACTGGTAAAACCCACGACTGTGGCCCCCAGTTACCCTTTGGGCCTGGAATTGAACTCACTCCTGTGGCATAACTTTCAGCCAAAGAATAGACAGGTGTAGGAGGTGAACAATTATACCAGGGAGGTTATTCCTTAGAACAATCAACCATGAGAGGTTAGAAGGGCAGCATTTGCACAGGCAGAAAGCTCAGAAGGCAGGGATGCATAGGAAAGGACAACACAAGGTACAGGTAACCACAGGGAAGAAGTGGGAAGAGAGCTGCTATATTGTGGGGATTACAGTCAGAGGCATGAAACAAAACGTGTATGAACTGTTGATTGGAAAATGAATTTGCTCTGTAAACTTTCACCCAATCACAATAAAAAGTTAATAATAATATAACTCATTTACCTTACCAGTAATTATGCTCCAAAAATAATTGAAGATAAACATTTTCAGCTTTCAATAAGAAAACATAAATACTGATGAAGGGGGACACAATTTATTTTATTAGATAAACAAATAAGATCTATTTTCCATTACTCTTATAGGCCGTTTCAGGAGTAAGACAGTATCTTTTCACTTGCATAGGGTAGTGTTAGGATAGGATGGAAGGATGAAGTATGTTTAGTTTTGATGTACTGTGTACAAAAAGAAGATCACTTCAGATTTGTTGCAAACTCATTATTCATTGTATATAAAAGTACTTGGAAAAACTGATTGCACACATAAATGTCTTGACTATATAAAAAATTATTACAGGCATTGTTATTTATGGTTTTGGTGTAGAATATTACTAAAGTTAATCCACATAGTGGTCTTCTTGGAGAATTGTATGCTTGTACAAAACAGTCATAAAACTTAAGAATCAAATTGGAGACTGAGGGATAAAGTGGCTGGCTGACTGAAATTGGGGAGCAGACAGACTAGGATGTCTGGGAAGAGAGGCTCAGGCTAGAAATCTGACTTTAGGTATTATATTTTCTTTCTAGCTCTGTTAATGACTTGTCTAAAATCTTCTTCCTATATTTCTTCATATGTTAGTAGGCCAAAATGAATTGCTAGGAAACATATGATGATAAGCTCACACACACCAAAAAAAGATGGAGGTAATTTAACTGATTAGGGTTAGTTTAG